ATTTTAACGATTTATAATATGGTTGTGCGATCTTTCTTCACCTTCCGTATTATTTCTTGTAGGATACTTGTATAACCATATTATCTTATATGCTAGATATTATTTTATAAATTAATCTCAAAATAAATCTTTTTTACTAAACTTAATTTTAATCAACCAACTTTGTAATATTTAGATAGAACTATGTGACTTTGAGTTTCCCATTGCACTCGGGGATACTTAAGAGCGGGAACCAGACCCGTCAAGTAAAAATAATTTTTTAAGGTTTCCATTAATATTTTAATAAATAGTGTCTTTTTTTAAAATAAAAAATAATAATAATTGTTGTTTAGAGGTTAAATAAATATTTTTTTAAAATTAAAATAAATTTGTACAATTAATTTAAAGTAACTATTTTTTTAAAAAAATAGATGTTGTAGGGTGTTAATACCTTTTCTACACGTAAATGACTCCTGGACTCATTTTTGGTTTCAAAGATCATTTTTTAAAGTTTTTCCAAGATTTTCTTCAATAAACTTTGGTGAAGACTCCTCTGATTTTTTTAGAAAACATTTTTTATTCCTAAAAAATATTTTTCTTAAATACATTTTTCACTGTACCGTTGCAACAGATGGCGACTCCATTGGGAAATTTTTTTAGAGAGTTAAGCCTTTGATAATTAATTGTGCAAACTTGTGTAATTTTGTTTCTATTTGCTTAATCCCTTTCTCTTTTCTTATTTATTATTTGAATTAATTGTATTATGTTTATTTTCATTCGTGTATTTATTTCATTTATGTATTTTGTAGCCTTCTTCTATATATTTTTCTTTATATTGTTGTTAACCCTAGGATAGATGGTTGTTGATATTTTTGTGTGGTATTCTCGTGTTGGTTAATTTTGCTGTTTTTATTTTTGTTTAGTTGATAGGACTACAAGGCTCCTTTGGTGAGTCTTTACACGTAAAAGAAAGTCGTAGATCTTTAGGTTAAACCCTTTAGGTGACCCCGAATCAGGACACAAAGAGAGTATTTCTTCTTTATCTACTCTTTTAGAAGCCATGTAAATTATTAGCACCTTAAAGTTGTTAAATAAATAAAAAAAAGATTTTACTACATTTTGGAACAATATTAAAGGCTAGTGATTTACATGATTCTCTAGGCTAATTTTTCTTACATCATTATCATTTCATATATCATTGCATATCATTTATTTGATTATCGCGCTTATTGTCATCCATGTAACACTAATAATTTTAAAATTGATTTTGAAAATGAGGCTAAGGATGATAATTCGCATGATTCTTGTGTCTTTACATTTTCATATGAAGCATTATCCTTCTAAGTATCAATTCAGATTTATAGAAAATAAAGAAATCATTTTCAAAGAGATTTTAAAAGGGTAATGATTCATATTGTTCATGCATCTTCATGCATCATCACTTATTTATTTCATTGATATAAGTACCTTGTGAGTTATTAATTCGTTTAAAATCAACATTAATCCTTATTATCACTAGGACCTTGTGTTAATGAAACAAATACAAGATTTATCATCTATTTTCTTCTTATTCATATGTTCAAGATCACAAAGTTGTTTGAATATCTAACAAACATATAAATTAATATGGGATCAAGTAGCAATGAAGCGATATCAGTTGAATTGAGAAAAACTTGTTATATTTTGGTGTGCTTTATTTGATGATGATCTCACATTGATTTCCATTTGAAAGAAAGTTTAGAAGACACTCAACAACTGTGATGATTCTTTAAGTTTTTAATTTTTTCTTTTAAACATATTCTTCATTATGTTAACTTCTTTTTATTGCATCATTTTTTACTGAATCACTCAGAGAAAAAAATTAAACAAATATAATGGAAAAATATTTTCTAAAGCATCTTTATATAACTCACGCTCAAGTAAAGATCATGGATGAGTAAGAGGAGCACAATGAAGGATTAAGGAATGATGTTAACTAGCTGAAAGAACAAATGACACAAATTTTAGAGGCACTAAAGTCCTTAGAGAGAAGAGCTGCCACCTTTAAAACAGAAGTAAATTTGACTATCAAGTGTACTAGTGTTATTGTAGCAAGATATAAAAAATGATGGAACCGTGTTCGAGTCCTAAATATCGTCCTTAGGGAAAAAGTACTCAATATCACTTCACAAGTCCACAATTAGTTGAGCTTCGCGAATTTCAAATGGATTTTGGAGATAAAAGTGACAAATATTAAAATCAGAAAGGAAAACAAAACAATGAACATGCAATTATGTGATTAACAAATGTAGAGAACATAGCTAGGGAGTTGTTTCACCAAAACTTCAGTGTTGAATCAATAAAGTTCTGAACATTCAAGTAATTAGAAGGAATGACAATCAGTTTCATGTTATTTTAATCAAAGGTTTATTCCTTAACTCAATGAATCTAACATTCAATTAAATCACTCTAATTCCTTAGATCAGGTTCAATTAAATGTTGCTTTAAGTGTTTGAAACTAGAAGATTGCAAGATTAAGTTATCTTATCCCTAAGAAATCTATAATCCTGGTAATTGATTCAGATTTGAGAAACAAGTTCAATTTCCATTGATAAGAGGTTTTCTGTAATTAGCTAATCGAACTTCCATTCAATCACTACGTAAAATACAGAATCAATCACTCAATCCATTCTAATACTCAAAATGCAGATCTAGAATCAATTTAACACATTTGTTTTGGATTCACAATCCCTTGGAACAAACTGTGTAGGCCATATCTTTAATGTCTGAGACTCATTTTTGTCAAAATCGGACTCTAGAGTGAACCCCCTGAAAAGAGCTTTGAAATTAATCAGGAACCTGCTCAAAACTCAAACAACTCGAGATATCGCTGAAATAGTAAAATAGGGTTGAAAGTACAGCCGAGTTGAACAAGTTACGAAGGTCATATCATTCATCTACGAGCTCCATTTTTTGCCAAACCAGAGACCAAAGTGAAGCTCCAGAAAAGAGCTTCCCAACAAAAAAAGAATCATCTCGAAACTTGACCCGAAGCTCGAGAAATCGTCAAAACAGTAAACGTTGCCCATAAACGCTTAGAATCTGGAGGGGTGTGTAGCCGCTTAGAACAAACTGTGAAGGTCATATTTTTCAGGTCTGAGATCTGTTTTTTGTAAAACTAGACTCCAGAGTGAAGCCCCTGAAGAGAGCTTAAAAATGAATCAGGAACCGGCTCCAAACTCAGCCCGCAGCTCGAGATTTTGTCGAAACATTATAAGGAGGCTAAAAGTCCTATCATGTGAAACAAGTTGCAAAGGCCATAACTTTCGTCTGCAGGGTCCGTTTTCTGTAAAACTGGACTCTAGAGTGAAGCCCGGGAAAATAGCTTTGCAACAAAAAAAGAATCATCGTGAAACCCAACCTGTAGCTCAAGAGATCGTTGAAACAATAAACGCTACCCAAAAACGCTCAGAATCTGGAGGTGTGCAGTAGCTTGAAACATTCTAAGAAGGCCATATTTTTTCGGTCCGAGATTCATTTTCTGTAAAATTGGACTCCAAAGTGAAGGTCTTGAAGAGAGCTTCGAAACAAATCAAGAACTGACTCAAAGTAAAACGGGGGTGAAACTGCAGCCATGTGAAACAAGTTGTGAAGGTCATATCATTCATCTGTGGGCTCTGTTCTCTGCCAAACCAGGCACCAAAGTGAAGCCCCAAAAAATAGCTTCACAACAAAAAAAAAATCGTTTTGAAACTCGACTCGTAGCTCAAAATATCGTCAAAACAGTAAACGTTGCCCATAAATGCTTAGAATCTAGAGGGGTGTGCAGCCACTCGGAACAAACTTTGAAAGTCATATCTTTCATGTCAAAGATTCATTTTCAACAAAACCAGACTCCAAAGTGAAGTCCCTGAAGATAGCTTCCAAATGAATCAGGAACTAGCTCAAAACATGGCCCGCAACTTGAGATATCGCTGAAATACTAAAATGAGGCTAAAAGTGCAACCATGTAGAACAAGTTGCAAAGGTCATATCTTTCGTCTACAGGCTCCGTTTTCTGCAAAACTAGATTCCAGAGTGAAACTCCAGAAAAGAGATTTGCAATGAAGAAGGAATCATCTTGAAACTTGACTCGTAGCTCAAGATATTGTTGAAACAAGTAACATTGCCTTGTAACACTTAAAATCTGCAGGAGTGTAAACTGCAAAGGGCATATATTTCAGGTCCAAGATTTGTTTTCTTCAAAACCGGACTCTAGAGTAAATCCCTTGAAGAGAGCTTCGAAATTAATCAGGAACCGGCTCAAAACTCAGCCCGCAGATCGAGATATCGCCAAAATAGTGAAACGGAGCTGAAAGTGCAGCCGTGTGAAACAAGTTGTGAATGACATATCTTTTGTCTGTGGGCTTCATTTTCTGCAAAACCAGACTCCAGCGTGAAACCCGGAAGAAGTGATTCGCAACGAAAAAAAGAATCATCTCAAAACTCGACTTGTAATTCAAGATATCGTCAAAATAATAAACGTTACTCAGAAATGCTCAGATAATTACAAAGGCATTCTGCAATCACTCACTCTCCAATTGTGTCAACTTCAAAGATAAAAGGCACTTTCAAAAATGTCAATGAAGAATTCGGTTAAATTATTTTTTGTTTTTGTTTTAAATTCATTTTTATTTTAAATTAATTTGTGTTTTCATTTTCATTTTCATTTGATTTACATTTGTTAATTACTTTCTTTTTTTTATTTAATTTGTTCTCTGGGTTCAATTCATTTCATTTTAATTGTTTTTATCTATGTTCATTTTAATCTGCATTGATTTTTCCTTGATTCATTTTCATTTTTATTTTCTAAATTTAATTTATTTTTTAGACAATTCATTTTCTGGGTAATTCATTTATTTGATTCAATTTTAATTTAATTTATTTTAGTGCATTTTTATTCAATTTCATCTCTTTGTTTCCCTTTCATGTTTCTGTTTAATTTTAACCAATGGTGCATAATTAAAATTGAAAACAAAATAAAATTATATCCTTGTAAGATGACCTAAATTTGCTCGTTATATTACAAAATTATTTGAGAAATCTACTTTTGTTTGAAACCATTACTACATGATAGTCACCTAGATCACCATTAAATAGATTTTTGGTTGAAAAGATTTTTTACTAGATTGGTTTCGTGCCATTTAGGCATTTTAGATTGTGCAAGCTTGCAAGGAGCTAAGCATGAGAGCCCAACAATTTTCTATTTTTAAAGATATAATACAAATCAAACATGCTATAAGATTATTTATTTTTGCTTCTTTCCTCGTGCATAAACTAAACCAGCAAGCATATATTGAATGTCTTTGGTCAAATCCGGCTGAAGTCACCCTATGCCTTGGCCCTGACAATGAAGAGATAATACAATTTTTATTGACAACATCAAGCCATATATAACTTTAACTTGAAGATATAATATTGTGTAAATGTACAATTTCATATCGAAAGAAGCAATTTGTGGTTTAGCCTTTGAATGTTTTTGCGTATACAATCTAATTCCAAATCAGTCAACTTCAAGACAAATTAGTGCTTCTATGTCAACTTCATGAAAATCTAGTCTCCAAATCTGTCACTTCAATAACAAATTCTGTCCCCAAATTTGGTCCAGCTCAAATTGAAATGACTAATTTGCCTTGAAATTAACAGACTCAGGGACCAAAATGTATACACACAAATTTAAATTGTATTTAGACAGAGAACTTTAGAATTCTTAGAGAATATAAAATTAATAATGAGGGATGATTTAAGTGATTGTCAAATATGAAAGGAGTTACGAATGATAATTACAAGAAATTAGGCATAGCAAAGAGATTTTTAAATTCTCTCTATAGACATGTCATTTGAACTTCCTTTCATTTGTTATAAAAATTATCTAGTTAAAATTCTGAAATATTCTAAAAACACTTGTCCTTACTATCTAAATACATATAATCTAGTAATTTAGAATTACTTTTTCCAAACACATCATCAAGGAACAAATCAAACAAAAACAGCTCATTTGAACTTCCTTTCATTTGAGACTAAATTGTATATTTATTCTATATTATATTTTTTATACATAAAAATATATATATATATAACTCGCAAGCATGCCTACAAGTAGGCCATGGTGATCAATTCCAGGCCCATGCCTGGCAAACAGAACCAAAATCAAGAAACAAAGTACTTTATTATAAGGAATCTGACACATGCATTTTTTTTTTTGTAACATTACAGAATTTTTTAATTTCCCATAGCAAATTTCAGCAGTTTGCCAGTGATTCAGAAACAGATCAAACAAAAACAGCTCATAAGTTTTTCGGGCAAAATATGCTTATTATGTGCGTGAATCTATATGATTGTTAATGATTATGTTCCACCACACAGATCAAAGGTAACAATTTGCTAGATGCTACAATTAAAAAAATGGGAAAGCATCACTAACTTTATCAACGGATTTTATGAACTAGAGTACACCAACTGACCTTTCTATGTAGGAGTCATCCTCTGTATTAACAACAATGGCATCACCAGCTACAATGTGAGGTGGAACCTGGAATCCATTCATCACAGAAATAAACAAGACAAACATTTAGCATTACAAGCACCAAATATTGATTTTATTCCATTTTAGATCCACTGATCAAGGTAGGTTAATTCAAATGGAAGGAAATTCTAGCAGAGTTAAAAACACGTTGACTTGTAAATAATCAACTCATTAATTATATATGAATTTGAAAGCATGGGAAAGCATTTCATCTTTAGTTTTAAAATACATTTAATCCAAGCCTTCAAAATTAAAAAATAAATATTAAAAATGCTATGTATTCCAAATTGGCAGCATTACTCAAGATTGAGTTCACCAAAAATAAGTTGCTTCCCTTGATGTCAGCTGGCTTATTCTTTCTTGATAGAGACTACATTTTGAAACAGGTCTTTCCATAGATGCATATTTACAATTGAATGAGATGTATTTCCTCAAGCACGAGGTCTCACTTTTTTATAGATTGTGGCTTACATACATCAAAGCTGCTAACTTTTTTAATCAATATTGGCTTCATCTAATTCATTTGGATTTTGATGGAAACTGAGATGCAAGTAATATTGAATATCAACAAGAAAAAGGTGAGTACACATAACCAGAGCCTATGACTCCTACAGAAATCCCAATTGATAATGGAATTCTGCCCTACTGCCCCCTCTAACAGAATGTAACAACTTACTTTTTCCTGCTCTCCCCACAAACCTCACCTCTTACTCTTATCATGCTCCTAATTAACTCATGCATTAAATTCCTTTTTCGCCCCATTGCTCTTTTTCTTTCTCACATACACCTCCACACTTTGAGCCTCTCAACAGGATCCAATAACTGATCCCCTTCCCTTAGTTCATCAATTGGGCCAACAGCCCCAACAGATTTTTTCTCCATAAGTAGACTTAAGTGAATGATCAATAAACTTTTTAACAATAAACAAGGAACAAATAAAAATACACAGGATTAGAAGCTCAAGTAAATGATCTAAATTTAACATATTACCATAGAATTTGATATAAAGCTCTAAAGAGGATAGACAAAGGTAAAGCAGTTGGCCCCAATAATATCCTATTGAAATTTGAAAAAGTTTGGAAAAACAAAGAACTAAGTGGCTTGCTAAGTTCATTAATGAAATTTTGAGATCTAAAAATGTTAAATGAATGGAGGAAGAATACTTTGGTCTTTATATACAAAATCAATGGTGATACCCAAAATTGTGCAAACTATAGAGAGATTTAAATTATGAGTAACAATATGAAGTTGTGAGAAAAAGTGATTGAACATAGCCGACAGGATACAAAAAAAGAGGGACTAGCGACAGCTTACTAATTTGACTGATAGTTTGACTATAACTTTTGAGAAGAGGTATCAAATTCCATTTCTTTTTTCACGTGCATCAAAAACAGGAAGGGTAGAATGAGAGCAAACGGCATGCAAACAGTACTGTGTGAACAGTGATGCAAGAGCACTGGACAATAAGATTCGGAGACAACAATAAGGCCAAGTTCAAGGAACAATGGACCAGGGACTGAAATTCAGCGTTGGCAAAGGCTGGGTGGGCATAGCAAAGATTGGAGTAACCTATTCCGATATCGACTTAGATTTAAAGAAGAGAATGAGTGAAAATTGCTTCAGTTTTCAGCACACTCAGTTGGATGATTAAGAGTTACAAGAATAATAAATACAATGTATTAGGCTACGTTACAAGAATAAATGGATAATTATTCTACCTATTTACTAAGTTATGATGTATTAGGCCACATAGGATGTTGAACAGACATTAAGGTGCAGACTATAGTTTTCAATGGCATGCGATAGCAGTGGGGTGTGGCAGAGCAGCTTAGATCTGGCATACCAGGAGTGTTTTGCTGTTGCAGTTGTATTCACCCAAAATGCAGCTTTTTGAAAAATACTAACTTCCCATTTTTACCCGTAAAACAACAGTTTTTAGAGTCTTTTAAGTGGAAAAAAGACTTATCTTTTCCCTTTCAGAAAGCCCTCAAGATGAGACAGTTTTGAGGCTTTTTTTCAGGGAAAAATAGTCTTCTTCCCGTTTTCAGAATACATGACCTAACCCCACTTTTTCTCGCTTGTTTCTTTTCTCCCCTTCCCTATTTAACACCCCCTCCTCTCATCTTTGTCACTGTTCTGCTGCTTCACAACTATCTACAGCAGAGCCACCTATCTCAGACAACTTCTCCAGCAAAATCTATCTCCTTTCTTCTCTCTGTTTTTTCATTCTGTAGTGCTGCCTCTGTTATGTTCTCTGTCGTATCTTCTAAGAAACAATGGACAGCTAGCAATGGCATCATCTAATTTATTTACTTGTATATTTTGCTTAAGACCAACGTCTTTTATTGATAATTATTCATATGCTTTATTTATGAGTATTTTTTGAGCATTATATATGTAATTATTTCCATATGTATACATTGTATATCAATAAAAAAAAAAAAATTAAAATAGTGGTCATCCTACTACACACAATACCACTTTAGTGTATTGAGGGTCTGGTGCAGATTCAATACACAATTTCCAAGCAAATAGATAAATACAAAGGGTGAGCCAAGAAGCAACGATAAGGTTGTTGCCTTGTGCCCTTGTGGTCATTGGTTCAAATTCTGAAAACAGCAAAAGAATGCCTTGGAGTCAACCCTCCCTAGACTGTTCAATGGCCATACGAATAGATAACTAGTACTAGAACACAAACTGCATAGGCTTTAATGATGATGCATTTCATGTTACTATTTATTCCATAATCAAAAGAATAAATTATTTACTTATAAACTCAAAAAAAAAAAAAAATACATAATCTTATTGATAGGCACAAAATTAAAATTTTGGCTGAATTATATCACAGATTAAAAATATAGTCAAATGAAAATAATTTTAGGGGTCTGACACTAATCATATTTCCAAGTTAATTAGTTTTGTATCCCCCAACCGGCCGTAAAACTTCAGCAATTGCTTTCAAAAAAAAAATTCATATGAAACTCATCTCTCAAATTGACCTGCATTGTTAAAAGGTCATCAAATTGATCCCATGCATATTAAGTAACAAAAGAAATTCTCAGAATACAGGTTCTGACGTTTAAAACAAATATCGCTAACAAATGTAACTTAACTAATGCATGAAATAATAATTAGATTTCCCAGCGCAGTTGCACAAGTGAATAACAAAGAATCATTTGACTTACTTCAACTGAAAGGCCATTGTCTAGTACAACCTTTTTGTTCCTTAAATCAAGAAGGGAAACAAATTAGGACAAGAATTAGAAATTTTATACAGCCAAAGAATGCAGATAACAGAAGCTAAGATGCTCCATCTAAGAATTTAACTTCCATTATTGATATGTAAAAAAGTCAGATTCAAATTACAAGTAAACTTCTATTGATACTGAGACAGAAACATAATCAGCCACAAATTAGAATAAAATCAGCATTCTCCAACAAATTGAGAATTAAACATGACGAGAAATATTACAAGTGTATGACTTAGAATGTAATTTACAATCAGTTATACTTTTTTACATGGGGTAAGAAAACAAACAATTGAGGCTACACTAATCTAATCTTCTAGATGTCTAAAACTCCCTCTAAGTTCAAGTCTTTTGTTTGGACAGAATTACTTAATAGGTGAATCACAAGTGATTTAATACAACATTGAAGATCTCACCATTCTCTCCAATGACAAACATGTTATCTAACAATTCAAACTTATAACAGTGGGAAACTTATGCTTGCACTGTGAGCAGTTTCTTTCCTTTAAATCAAACCTTAATGGGCTATATCTTTCCCTTAAATTTGCTTTGGGATAGGATTATGTCCTTACCATCAGTCTTCTGGCGATGGATGCTTTAAGAGAGTAGCCATTTCCAGCAAACAGGGAGATTGGGTATCCCTTCTTCACTTTTGGATTTTCTTTGTTTTTACAAAATTTTATGCTTTAGAGGATGCCTTATCTCAAATTCCAAGATGAAAGTTCCAAACCACGTACTTTTCTTCTCTTAATACAATTTCTTTTCTGTCAAATGAATTTTGCACTTGGGAGTTGAACTACAATAAACCTAAAATGGGTAAGACACTTCCTTATTCTGTCTGCACTCTTTTCTTGCTGTCTGTTTTCATCTCCTCTCTATGGTTGACATTTAGACGAATGACAACAAAAGACTCTTTTCTCCATGAAGATTGTAGTAGAAGCTGACTCCAAACCTTTACATATATGACAATATGAATGAATATAAGTTGGTATGTGTAATACAATAAATAATATCTTTGTAATTATAGTAACTTTTTATTCTATATCAATAGTTCCTATTATAAATATATGTTCCGGTGTGTAGTCAAAACACACGAATTCTTCCTATATTTCTTGTTTACTTTTCTCAACATGGAATCAAGAGCTTAACAAGGAAGAAATCCTAATCCGTCCTTTTCCTGTTAGCCAGTACTGCTCATAGGTAATTTTTTTCAGAAACTGTGTCTCTAGTTTCTGATTTTTTTCTTACCGCCATTGTTCACATTGCCAGCAACTTTCCAACTGTCACTATTCACACCACCAGCGTCTTTTCCGGTGTGCCTTTTTTTAATCGCCTCTCTCCCTTCTGGCTACCACTTGTTTTGTCAAAGTCACTGCAAGCCACTGTCCTCTACCCCTTCCTACATCAAAATTCAGCAACCGCCAGCACATGCTCCTTCACCCACATATAGTGACTTTTGTAACGCTCCTAATTTTATAATATTAATTATTGATAATTATATAAATCTAAATGTAATTTTATGTGTGTATTTTTATTAGATATATATCGTGTATATATATATATATATATATATATATATGTGTGTGTGTGTGTGTGTATGTATACATGACTGGTAGGGTTAAAATGGGCTAAGTGCAGGGCTTGATACTGGGCTGTAGCGAGAGGGCCCTGGGAGGAAGGACCAGAACTGTCGCCTTCTCGCTGTAGCGAAAGACGTCTCGCTGTAACAAAAGACGTCTCGCTGTAGCAACAGTTTGGGGTGCATTTCTGGGAACAGTCTCGCTGTAGCGAGAGAGCGTGTCGCTGCAGCGAGATATCTCTATGTAGCGAGAGTGTCGCAATCAAAAAAGGATTTAAAGGGAGTTAGGGTTCGAGGAGAGTTATTTCTCCCTCTCCCTTCGATCCTCTCATTCCCAAAGCCCTATTTCACCGATTAATTGCCTCCAAAGCCATTCGGGAGCAAGATTGAAGCTTAGATTTGTGTGGGGAACGTTTAGAGGTGAGTTTCAAACGGTTAGGGTTTTCGTTTTCCTTCCCTTTCTCTGTTTTTGGTGATTTTAGGAATTTTCATGGAATTCTTCCATGTGTTTAGGCCGAAAGCCATGTGGAGAGCATTTCCGTGGTTGAGTTCAGACGTGGATCTTCAATCCAAGGTAAGGGGAGACTCTACCCTGCTCTTTTATGTGTGATTTGCTGATATTGTGATGTGGCTGAATAGGGGGTAGGAAATTGCTGAGATATGTGATGTGGGCATTTGTGCCGTTTATACATGTGTGTATATCTGAATGAACATTGTGAAAATGTGGGCCCGAGAGCCGTGTAATATGAATGGAAATAGGCTAGGGGCCGTGTCATGAATGAATTGTGGGCTATGTGCTGTGAAAATGAAATGTGAGCCTAGTGTCGTATAGTTGAACAAATATGGGCCTAGTGCCATGTACTATTAAATGTAAGCTATGTGTCGTATACTAAAATGTGTGTAACTGAAGCGTAATAGCACCGTTATAATGTGCTGTGAATGGTTCAGCGATACACTGGGAATGTGGGAGATGAAGACGGTAGAAATACCTTAGAGAAGAAGGAGTGGTGGTAACACCGATTGCGAAACGGATGCATCACGGGCCACACACTCTTTTCCTGGCTAGACCTATGACCACTATCTTTGCTGAGCGACCTGTGACTGTCCACGTAATATCCGTGAAACAGGGGTAACCAACGACCATTCATGATGTAAATCTATGATCACAGTGTTGCAGTGAATGTGGCTGGCGTGCATATGCATGAGTTTATGAATTATATTTATGGATATGAAATGTTGTCTGTGCTTGTATTTGTTTAATGTATTGGAAATGTGCTGGAGGTGAGACTATATGCTTAATTGTATGTTTTTGTAGTATAGAGTACTCATCCTTAAATTCATTTTTCAGGTAATCAAAACAATGAACACCGGACTCAGTGAAAGGGGCGAATGGAACTACTATAGAACTAGGATTTTAATTTGAAACTAATGTATTTGAATGGGTCCTGTAGTAGTGACTTGATAGAAATTGTAACCCCTTTCCTTATTTATAAAAAAAGAAAAAATATTTGATAAAACCAAGAGTTGAAAACCTTATTTAAAATGAAATTTATTTTATTCTGAATTTGCGAAATTATGATTTATTGAAATTTAACATAAGATATTACAACTTTCTTCAATGGTTTGAAGAGCGTCAGGTCTCTAGTCTCACTCTTTCTATTGTGCACACAGGTAATTCTTTTGTTGAGGTCTCTCCCTCCTTCTCTCTTGGACCATGGGTCCTTGATTTTAGGGCCATTGACCACGTCACTGGTAATAAATTTTTTTTTTTTTACTATTTTTACATCTGATTGTTTACCCTCTGTCATAATGGCTAATGTGTCTCAAACACAATTTCAAGGTATCAGTATTGTCCACCCTTTTCCTTCCGTCTCTATTGATAATGTTTTTTACATTTCCGACTCTCCTTTTAACTTACTTTCCATTAATCATCTCACTCGTTCCCTTGAATGTATTATCTCTTTTATAAAAGATTTTGTTTACCTGCAGGACTGAAGTTCAAGGAGGATGATTGACACCGGAAAGGAGTTCCATGATCTCTACCATTTAAATGCTTTTGCTCATGCTGGTTCAATAATTGATTCATCTCTTCTTATTCATGCCCAGTTAGGACATCCTAGTTTAACCAAGTTACTATACTTAGCACCAAGTCTTTTCAAGTTATCAACTTTGTCCTGTGTGTTGTGTCAATTAGGAAAACATACACGTTCTTTTACTAGTGTCCATCGTCGTTCTACTTCTCCCTTTTCTTTAGTTCAAATTGATGTGTGGAGTCCAAGTCACATTGTATCTACTTTAAGTTCAAAATATTTTGTTAATTTTATTGATGATTATTCTAGATGTACTTAGTTATTTTTAATGAAAGATCGTTCTCAGTTATTTTCTATTTTTATAACTTTCTTTTTTGATATTAAAACTCAATTTAGTATTCTAATTTGTACATTACAAAGTGATAATGCTCGTGAGTATTTATCTAATCAATTTCAAAATTTTATAGCTTCTAATGGTATCCTTCATCAGACCTCTTGTGTCCATACTCCACAACAAAATGAGGTTATTGAACAAAAAAATAGACATCTTATTAAAACTGCTCGTACTCTATTATATCATAGTCAGGTTCCTCATCGTTTTTGGAGTGATGTTCTTACTGCATGTTACCTTATCAATAGAATGTCATCCTCAATTCCTCAAAACCAAGTCCCTCAGTCTATCTTATACCCTCACTAGTCCCTTCACCCTTTACCCCTTCATGTCTTTGGGTCCACTTGCATTATTCATAACCTTAGTCCTTGGCTTGATAAACTTTCACCACACTCTAACAAATGTGTTTTTCTAGGTTACACTAAGACTTATAAATGTTATAAATGTTACTCTCCAACTCTTCGTTGCTATTTAGTTTTGGCTGATATCACCTTTGAATTTGTTCCTTTCTTTACACCCAGTCCTCCTGTTTCAGTCTGAGTCTCCTCCTTCCTCTCTTCTAGCTTATGTACCTTTCCATTATGTTCAACTAGAACCATCTCATGCTTCCACTGCACCACCTCCTTCGTGCCCTCTGTAGGTATATCATCATCACCAACCCCTCTCTGTACCGCCAATGTCTACTGGTCCGACTTCTTATTTGCTTCCAGTGCCACTCACTATCTCTCCTCCTGGCTTGTCTCTTGATAATGAAATTTTCATTACTCTACGTAAAGATATACGCTTTCCTCCTAATCCATCTCCTCATTAATTTTTTTGAGTTATCATTGGTTGTCCTTTTTCTATTATACTTGTTTGTCTTCCTTGTCCTCTATTTCTATTCCTCAATCCACAGGTGATGCTCTCTCCCATCCAGGTTCAAAACAAGTGATGATTGATGAGATGTGTGCTCTTCAGAATAGTGATACTTGGGACCTTGTTTCTCTCCCTCCTGAGAAGTCTCTTGTTGGTTGCAAGTGGATATATACAGTCAAGGTTGGTTCTAATGATAAGACTGATCGCCTTAAAGCCTGTTTAGTGGCCAAAGGTTATATACAAATATTTGGTTTAGACTACAATGACACTTTCTCCCCTATAGCCAAAATGACATCTATCCAACTACTCATATCTATGGCTGCTATTTGTCACTAGCCTCTTTTTCAATTTGATATCAAGAATGTTTTTCTTAATGGTGATATTGAAGAAGTCTATGGAGCAACCTCCTGGATTTATTGCTCAAGAAGAGTTCAGGATTTGTTTGTTGTCTCCAAAAATTCTTTTATGGTCTCAAACAATCTTCAAGGGCATGGTTTGGTAGATTCAACATGGTGGTTCAACAATTTGGCATGACTCAAAGTGAAGCATATCACTATTTTTTATCGTCATTCAATCTCAGGTTGTATTTACTTAATTATGTATATAGATCACACTGTCACTGCAGGAAGTGATCAGCATGGCATTGAACAGATAAAGCAACACCTTTGTTAGCACTTCCAAACAAAAGATCTTGATAGACTTCGATATTTTTTGGGGATTGAGGTGACACAATCCAAGAATGATGTTGTGATAGATATTGGAATGCAGTAATCCACATTTTTAAGTATATTAAAGGAGCTCTAGAAAAAGATTTCTTATATGAAGACAAAGGACATACTTTGGTTGTTAGGTATTCAGATGCAGATTGGGCAGGATCACCTAATGATAGGAGGTCTACATTTGGTTATTGCATCCTTATTGGTAGAAACTTAGTTTCCTGGAAAAGCAAGAAGCAAAGTGTAGTTGCAAGGTCTAGGGTAAAAGCTGAGTATCTAGCTACAGCTTTAGTCACTTGTAAACTTGTATGGCTTAAATAATTACTCAAAGAATTGAAATTTGGAGAAGTTAAAGAAATGACACTTATTTGTGATAATCAAGAAGCTTTACATATTGTGTCAAATCTAGTTTTCCATGAGAGGATTAAACACATTGAGATAGACTGTCATTTTATCAAAGAGAAGATTTTATCTAGAGACATCACTACTAGCTTTGTAAATTCTCATGATCCATTGACAAATGTGTATACCAAGTCTTTAAGCAGTCCTCAAATTAATTATATATGCAACAAGCTTGGTGCATATAATTTATATGCTCCTACTTGAGGGAGAGTATTTGAATTATGTAATTACAGTAATATTATAAATTGAGAAATTAACATCTTTGTAATTATAGTAACTTCTTATTCTATATCAATAGTTCCTATTATAAATATATGTTATGGTGTGTAGTCAAAACACAGATTCTTCCTATGTTTCTTGTTTACTTTTCTCAAACAGTATCCATTACATAAAGGATGATTTATGACAGCCACAAAATTTAGTATGGATCAAAGCTAATAAACCAAAGGAAAGAAGAGTGTCTCTAGTACACAGGACATAACTTGATCTGAAACCACTAAAATAATGATAAAAGAATATTCAAATTATAGGAGTTAGGTAGAGGAGAAGGAAGAAGAGATTAAAAAATACTATGAATAGCTCTCTAATTCAAACTGGTGTTTGTAGAACTGAAAATTTTAAAGACACAATGTTGATAGCAAGATGTCAGTTTTAGATATTCTAACAGATTTTACTGCTTGGTGTTTTAGGGGTATGTAGAACAGTACCTCCAAAACAAGGTGGAAGATTAGAAAACTTTTACCACTGATTCAAGCCAGAAGGAAAGATGATCAAAAAGGAAGTCTGGAGAGGAACTCAAATAGAAGAAAACACACCAGAAATTCATACAGTTCCATAACCATTACAAGTTGTGGAGTGCAGGCTTTAACTACCCTCATTAATGAGAAGAAAAGCACACAGCATAGGTGAGATGTTTGAACCAATAAGAGCAGTTTGTAAGATGCTACACTAGCATATTTCAACAAAAAATGCTCCAAGACATACACAAAACAAAAAGAAAAAAAAAAGCAAATGTGAAAGAACAAGATCAAGTACATTTTTCAAATACAACAATGGATAATGTCACATACCTTGGAGTGGCAGCAATTCCCTCCTTGACATTACATGTTACACGTTTTGGAACAGATGCAGATAAAGGTTTGTCATCATAAAATTGTACTTTCACCTTCATTTCATCTGTCAAGCAGGCAACAAATCAATAATTAAATAGTAATAGAAGGCATGATTGAACCCCATCCTAGTTATATCCATGAAAATAAAAATTGATAATTGATAACTACCAAAAGTATTATTCTTTAATAAAGAAAATTTTATTAGATAACTTTAAGCATGAAGAGAAAGTGAGCAGGAGGAAGGAAGAGCTTTGAAGGCACAAAAACATAGTAAACAAGCTTATCCCATATATAGGAAGCAACAAAGAGAGGCTAAAAATGCAAGCTTGTACCATAACATATGTAAAGAAACCACATATGACTTGGAAAATAAGGGAATGTGTTAGAACTGGTTTGGTATAGATGGAAAAACAAAACAAAACATTGTATTTATTCACAAGAATGCCCCCTAATCAAACTGACCAAGAAACAAACTTGTTACAGCGTTCATAGGGTATTGGAGAGACCTTGGACTCTCCCCAACCTTACAATGATCCTATTCTCCTCCTGCCTTCTATCCTGTCATATTTCCTTTATATACAATCCCTTACTAACCACCTCCAACTAATTTAGTTAGTTGGCTTCTGACCACCTACCCTTCTTTTAATTCTTTTAACATATACTTGCTTTATTAATGGTTTTCTATTAGAATGGCACCATATATATAATAATTATCAATAGCGGCTGCAATCGCGGCAGAGCGGCACAGCCCTGCTATGGCAACCCAGTAGTGTCGTGGTTCAGTCTCACGCCGCGAATAGCGGCGAAAATGGCAAAAATTGCAGTTGTTGTGGCCGTTATGCTCTCCTCTTTGAAAATTCCAAGTTTACCCTCTGTTATTTTAATGTTGGAGACTTTTAAGGGGGGCAATATTGAGATTTCGCCCCCTATATTCTGAATCTTCTCCCTCCCTCTTGCAAGCCCTAGCCTCTCAACTCTCCTTTCATTTTATCTTTGTTCTCTACATTTTCATTGTTGGAGTGTGGCCTTCATCTCCGGCAAGGCTTCTAAAAGGAAACAAACATTATCTGATCATTTTCTTCATCTCCGTTGAAGCCTCCAACATGACCCATATTATATTAAGTCATCTTCTTCATCTTTGGTCATCTTCTTTAAGGTCAACGAAGCTTCTGACGTCACCTAGACACTTTCCAGTCATCCTCTACTAGCAAACTTTATGGCAAGCTGCAAATTTCTGGTGACTGAACATTTTTTTCCCTATTCTTCTTTTTTAGTTTTTTATCTCCTTCTCTATTTTGATTCTCTTACTCTATTCTGTTTCAAATTTCAAAGCTTAAAGTAGAAGTAATGATTGCTCCTGCCAATCAGTCACGAGGAATTACCTCTGTTTCAATTTCATCATATGCATTAGTGAAGCCTTCAAGAAATAGTTTAGATATAGGTTGGCAATGGAACATTTTGAAAGACATAAGCAATAAAAAATCTATTACTTGTCCCTTTTGTGGAAAAAAACAACTACCAGCGGTATTATCTGAGCAAAGAGATACTAGATGGGAGTGAAGGGAAATATTGATAAATGCTCAATGATTCCTAAAAAAATAAAAGAAACACTAATAGTAGCTAATGAAAAAAAGACAACTGAAAGAGGCATATTTACTTCAGCCTGATGAAGATGTTAATGAGGAAGAAGGTGCAAGAAATTTAAAATATTCGTAGTAAAAAAAGACTTGCAACCTCAAGTGTTGCATCAACTTATGTTAGTGGCTGTATTGCATCCAAAAAAGGAAAAAATGTTAAGAGCCCATTGGATTTATTTTGGTTGAAGAGTCCAAAAACAAGCATCAAATTAGCAAAGGCAAAAAGACAAACAAATATAAATAATGTTTGTGTTAAGGAGACAAGAATAAGAACAATTCACTACATAGAACGATACCTTTGGAGGAATGGAATGGCTTCCAATGTATGCTCAAAAAGCTTCAAATTAATGGTTGAAGCTATTAGAAAGCATGGTCCACGCCTAAAGCCTCCTAATTATCATGAGTGTAGAGTTCCTCTTCTTAAAAAAGAGTTAGAGTATACAAATGAAATGTTGAAAAGTCGTGAAGAAAGCGAAAAGTGTGAATGTTCAATTATGTCAAATGCATGGATGGATAAAAAAAAATAGAACATTGATCAATTTCATAGTGTACTGTCCAACTGGTTCTATGTTTGTGAAAAGCATTGATGCATCTACTTATATGAAAACTGAAGAAAAGTTGTTTTAACTCTTGGATAGTTTTATTGAGAAGATTTGAGAGAAAAATATTGTGCAAGTAGTTTTACTAACAATAAAAGTAATTACATGTTAGCCGGTAAGAATTATTCTTAACTCTCAAGTAATATCATTTAAACACTTAGTATTCATATTTTATTAGTTTCTAATTTTAGATTATGCAATTTAATTTTAGTTAAGTTGTTGCAAGCTAAAAGACTATATTTGTTTCAGACTACATGCATTGCACACTATTGATCTGACGTTGGAAGACATTGAAAAAATATCTATAGTCAAGAGAACAATCCAAGAAAGAGTTAGTCTCGTGAATTTTATTTATAATCATTCATTGACTTTGAACATTACGAAAAGGTTCACAAATAAAGCTGAATTGGTTAGATATGAAGTGATAAAATTTTCCCCAAGATTCCTCCCATTACAAAGGTTGCATAATCAAAAAATAACCTTAGAAATTGTTCACTTCTGATGAGTGGTTGAAGTCCAAAATGGCCAAAGAAACTAAACGGAAAAAAGGGCAGCAAACATTGCGCTTATATGATGTGGTTTTCAGTCTTAAGGCTATAGGGCCACTTGTGCAAATTTTAAGAGGCTAGGTATAGGTGAAGATGATGTAGACAATGCTACAGTTCAGTTGTTAGCATATAGAAGAGCTGAAAGTCTCTTTGGTTTAAGTGGAGCAAAAAGAAAAAGGGCTACAATAGCTCCTAGTAAGAGAATTGTTTAATTTTTCATTGTAATGTAATTATGTAAACATAACATAAATGACTAATAAGTTACTGCATACCTTGCAGCTGAATGGTGGAAGAATTATGGAGTGCGTACGCCACATTTACAAAACATTGTCATTAGAAAGTTGAGTTTTACTTGTAATTCATTTGAATATGAACGAATTCTTGATCTAATATTGAAAATGCAAAAATAATATATATTTTTTTATGATAAAATAGATTCATTATAAAAAGAGAAGCAGACTTGAGCATCAAAGGTTGCAAGACTTGGTTTTCGTTAAATATAACTAAGCTCTTAATGAACATTTTGAGTGTTCTAATTTGGTGGATCATATTTTCTTAAAAGATGTTGATGATAGTAATGATTGGTTGCTAGAAGAAATTGATAAAGATAATGAAGATGTTGTAGATGAATTAGTGTTTGATTATGATAACTTGACATGGAGAGTTGTTGTCAATGCAATTGAAGCTAGTGAGCCTGTAACCTACACTAGGCGACAAAGTAGATCAAAACCTAAGACAATTACAATCATTTCTTCATCTAAATCTAAGAGAAAAGGGAAAGAAATTGTACAAGAAAAAGAAGAATGTGATGATGAAGACTATGAAGAAGAGGAAGAGGAAGAGAAAGTCCTTTACAAAAGTAATAATGAAAGTGAAAATGAAGAAAACATGACAGATCTTAAAGATGAAGATGATAACTAAAAAATAATTGTATATGAATTGAATACCTAGTATTTTTAAACATCTAAGCATTAGAGACTTGACAAAAATAGTGGAATTGACAATAATCTATAAATTTTATTAGCATTGATGACAAAATCAGAAAATAATTGTTGGCACACTGGTAGGTTATATAAGCACAGTTGAAAATCTTCTAAATTTTCCATACAGAAAAAAAAAGAACAGTGATCAAGGATTGAACAGCGTTAGCTTTTATCCACCTTGTAGGTATAAACAATTCTTGCCGAACAAGTCTTTGGAAACTTCCATTTGATCCAATGTATCAGGGCTGACCACAATTACAGAGAGACCACAGTAATTAACTTGGCTTGCTCAGTATTTCTTGCCCCCAACAGCATAGTATGACATACTGAAAGCAAAATAAGATGGAAGATATAAGAACTCACTCCATCAATACTACTGTTCCATCATGATCCATGCACATGAACATGAAAGTCCTTTCTCGAACAAAGACCCCTGCAACAATTTATGATTTGTTAGAACAGAAAAGGATTAATACTTACTAGTCAATTTTCAGCAGGTGTGAAGCATCCAAGCAAAACACTAATAAGAAAGAGCAAATATCGTCCTACACATTATCATCAATATTTAAACAATGTAAATGTAGCAAATGCATAGCCTTCACACAGTCATTTTTTTGTTAGGATTTTAAATAGAACAAAGTGTGAAGGTTGTAACAATGTGAAGGCTGTAACAATCTTAAATAGGTTTTTTATATATATATTGTAAAAATCTTCTATTTTATATTATATTGTAACAAATTAAGTTTTAACCAATTTTTTTTAAATATATTTTTTGGTGTTGGAGCCATGTCAGAGCCAAAAAAAATGACATTGTTTAAGCACATTGTTACAGCCTTCACACTTTGTTCTATTTAAAATGACATTTGATGATTGTATATTTTATATTAAATTATGCTTTGAGTTGAGACTTATGCTAATTAGGCTTTGAGTTAATTCATTTTTATCTGCGAAGCATTGACATCTCTATGCAATTGAGTATCCAAGTGTCGGACACGGCTCCAACACCGGTGTGACATGGCCTAGACACGTGTTGAACATTATTCTGCAGGTATCCAAATTTTAAAACATTTTTTTGTGGCTCTGACACGGCTCCAACACCAAAAAAATATATTTAAAAAAAAAATTGGTTAAAACTTAAAAGGTTAAAAAACATTTCATTTGCACGAAAACTCCTTCCTTTCCTTCCTCTGCACGTTTCCTTTTATAAAGAGACAAAAAAAAATTTCTTGTAAAATTATGCCTCTTAGTATTTTTTGTTAGGATATCATATAAAAATTGTAAAGTCTAACAACTTTATCTTGAGAAGATGAATGAACAAATCTTAATTTTCAATTTAGATTTTTGTCATGTTAATCATATTTTAATATATATATATATACACACACACACACATAGGCAGTATCCTATATTTTGAACATTAGTCGTGTCCTGTGTGTCCATGTCAAAGTTGGGGCTTCATACGTTTCTATCATTTCCTATGACATGTAATTTTTTTATATATTTTATTATGTCCATCATACTTCTCCCATTACCCACCATAGTATCCACAATATCTTTATGGCAGTTTTTAAGCTTTCTGTTATGACATGCCATTCGCCATTAATAACATTGAATTAAGCTGAAGATCTTGTAATATTCTTTCCCTAATTATAGGAAACCTCTTGATAAGGTTGGAAGACTCTCTCCTAAGCAAGTTTTCTCTTAAAAATCCTAGACATTATTTTGTTTCAAATCTTTGTTTCAAGTGTCTACATTGTATATAGGACCTTAGGAGTTAGAACCTCTTATCTCTTGTCTTGGATGTGATTTGCTTTTGGTGTCTTTCTTATCATTCCCATTATTCTCTTTCTTTTACTAATTATTTATTAAAAATATGCATGCAAGGGTTGTTCTTTATTAACTTGCTTTGCAATATAAAAATCAACAATCTTAGCCATAACAAAAATTTACTAAGAATGGTGTAAAAATTAACGTCTAAATCAACAATCTACATGCAATACACAAAATATAAAATGGTTATAAAGCTCAGAAATATGCGTTTGACATATTACATATGCAGGGACATACTTTCAATATCCTCATCAGTGCCCATCCGTTGTGTTACCTTGTTTCCCTGGCCAATGTCACGAAGTTCCACCTATAAGCAAAAACAACTACAAGTTGCAGTTAGGAATGGAGTTTAAAGTAAGAGTCCAGATGTTAGAACATACAATTATATCCGATAACAATAGCACAAAAAAGCTACGCATTGAGCAAAACAATATTTCCTTTAATTATAGACATTCAACTAATAAAAATTAACAAACAAGTGTCATCATCGAAATATATAACAATGGAACAAATTTCTAAACACAACCAAGTAAGAAATAGTAGGTTAGGATAGAACCTAAATAAACATCCTCTTGGGAAAACAATACTCAATCAAATCTGTCAGTGATATATGTCACATGCTTTAGCACACTGATAGCTGCTATAGTAAGTTCAGTAGATTTGTATGTAATAAATTGGTTAAGAAACAGATGCAATAGTAACTCCTTCAAAAGATAAATTACATGTTAGTATTCACTGTGCTAATTCTCTTTTCCTTAGTTCAGGCAGTTGAAAATGTACATCTATGTACAGAATGTAATATTCCAGTTCAAAGGCTAATCAAGGAAAAATTGAATCAAGACAACTTAGACAAGTTAGCTGATCAATAATAATGTGGAACAGATGTGTGTTCAGTGAGGGTCAATACAAGGAAAGAAAAAGAGAATTCTTCCAGAATAAACCTTGATTGTGGCTTTTCCTCTTCCTTCGTGAGAGTGATCTACTTTAAGAACCTGATGAGGTGATGAGTATACATCAAGTGTTGGATAACAAGATTTAATGAATATTATTTAACAATAAATTGGTAGAGTAATTAGCAAATACCTCGTAAATGCGCCCTGGAAGCAAGCTTGTCCGGCACAATAAGAATGTAATCAAAATTTGTGAGAAGGTACTCCCTTCTGTCCTTTTTATAAGCAACACTATTCCTATATTTGTAGGCTTAATTATAAGAAACAGAGATTTTCATATGCATTTAAATTCGTCTTATACCTTTATTTATTGTGAGATTTGTGTTAAGGTGTTCGTTATACAAAGAAGTAGGTATATTCGTGAGCCACCAATTTTAACCATTTAATTATTATGAGTATTTTAGAAATATTATAACCCATAATTATTTTACTATTCTTGATAAATTAGTTATTTGATTCTTATCAAGAGGACGAAGGGAGTATAATATAACTACACTCGTCGAATTGAATCATCGTAGTAAAATTCAATAATCCAAAAGCAAAGTAACCTTGTTTTCCAATGATGTTTCCGACTCTAATCTGCAGCTCGGGAGAAATTGAAAAGGCCTCTGTAAAAATTTGGATCAAAAACCCCAGAAAAATGGACAAAGATAAAAGATGCATACATCAGAACCAGAGACTTTGATTCCCCGGCATTGAAAGGCAGACCACGGAAAGGTGAACAAGTTGGTAGACATGGAGGAAGCAGAAGGGGGTGATGGTAGTGAGTTCAAATTCAATAGTGCCGCAGAGCAACAAGAAGAAGAATATAATAAATAGGATCTAAGTCTGAAAAGAGGCCTGGCCTCGGAACTGGAAAGCCTCAGCCGCAGAGCCTGCATTCTCTTACCGTCGATTCAGATTTCGGAAAAACGAAGTACTCAGCCGTTTTACTATCGTTCCCAACTACAGGGTATATGGGACGCAGTGCGGGGATTTATATCAGTCCTCACCCCAGCCCAAAATTTTGCGACCTGGTTTATTTTTTTACTTAAACTGATAATATTAGGTAAACTATTAAATATGGCGTGTACGGATTTTTTTTTAATTCAATTAATTTATTTTAAAATATAAAAAATTTAATTTCAATAAAAATAAATAAATATAGTAAAAAAATTATTTGTTAAAATAAATTATTATTCAAAATTATTTATAACATGTATAATTTAATATTATTTAACATAAAAAACATATAAAATATTTTATTTTTAAAATATAAAAATAAAACTTATATTATTTTATGACATCATAAATCATTTATCATTATAAAATTTTAAATAAATAATTATAATAATAAATTATAAATATAATAAATTAAATTATTAAAATTTAAATAAAAAAATTATAATTTTTTATTTATGTATTTGTTTATAATTTAAAATTATTAATAAAATATTACTATATAATTATTAAAGTATAATATTATATTTTTTAAAATAATTTATCAGACTAATATATATAAAAATAAGGTTATATTTATTGAATTAATGTATGAAATTTTAAAAATCTACTTATAATATTCATATATACAAAATTATATATTAATATTTAATAATAAAAATGTAGTAAAGTTTTTACATATATAAAAAAATTAATATACAAAATTATTATAAATAAAAATTAATAATAATATAATATACATTTTGAATTAAAAGTTTTTTTTGATAAAAAAAATATAGAATTAAGTTTTTTTTAAAATGATTAAATTATTCTATATTTTTATAACTTAACAAAATTAATATTAATTGACATTATAAATAAATTAATTTTATTTAATATTTAAGTGTAATAAAATTATGTTGTTTGGACAATAAAATTAAAATAATAAATTTATTAATTTTTATTATGTATTCTTTTAATTTTTGAAAATAATTAATACAATTTTTTTATTATTTTAATTAAGAATCAATAAAAATAATTATTGTCATTTTATTAATTCTAATAAATTTGTTTAAATATAATTTAAAAATAATAAGTATGAATTAATTATAGTAATAATTTTTAAATTATGTAATTTACTATAATTAATTTTAATAATTTTTTATTTAATATAATTTTAAATTATCTTATCTTATTTTATATATAATATTTTTTTAATGTAAATTTGTATTTTTATCAAAAATATAATTTAACAATATATAATATAAATTAATAATTTTGTATGAGTAATTTTTTTACTTTTAAGTAAATTTTAGTTTTTGAAATATATATTGAATTATATATTATATTAAATTATTTAATAAAATAATTTAAATATCTAAACTTTTCTTTTTATTACAAACATAATTTAATGATACATAATATAAATAAGTAATTTTATAAATGTAATTTTTTATTTAAATTACATTTTAGTATTGTATATAAATTTAGAAAGTGACTCATGCGATGTACAAATAATTTATTATATTATAGTATAATATTATAATTAATATTTATAAAATAAAAGATAAATATATAAAATATTTCTGATAATATTTAAATTATTTTAAAATTTAAAATTAATTAGTATATATTAATATTATTACCAATAAAATGATTTCATTTATAATATATTTGTAAATATTTGTAAATTTACTTTAAAAGTAAAAGAATTAAACTCAAATATAATTTGAATTTATAATATTATAAATTTAATTCTATTAAATTTAAAAATACTCTTATAATTAATTTATAATAATTTAATATACATACATACAAGAATATAAAGATCCATAATAAAAAATTAAATTTTAATATATTTAAAATTTTTTAAGACAAAAATTATTGAAAGAATAAAATTATATATCTTATCTTATATTACAAAATTATATAGTACATAATTTAAAGATAAAAAATATTAAATTTTTTATTAAATAAGTCAATTTTATATTTCTGAAATTATGGTAATGTATTATAATTTAACCTCTTATTATTGAATCATATATTTATTGCTTAAATATATATATATATATATATAATAACTTTAAAATAATTATAATTTAAATATAAAATTAATTATTTTTAATAAAACAGTGAGATAAAAAATATTAATAAAAATTTTGATTATTTTTTAAAATAAATTATCTATAAAAAATAAATATAAGAATTAAAAATAATTTATATGTGAATTTAAATATTATTAATAATAATTTAATTATAAATTAGAAAATATATTTATATATCACAAAAATTTATTTATATTATATATTAGTATATATTAATATTATAAATTATAATTTAAATATAAAAAATATATAATAATAAAATTATATTATATTAAATAATATCAAATATAAATAGATTAAAAAAAGATAAATAAATATTTATATGCAAAATTTTATATATTTTATATATTTTAAAATTTCAATTAAGATTTAAATAGAAACTAAAAAAGAATAATAATTTTATTGAATATAAAAATAAATCTTATATCAATTAAAAGAGAATAATAATTTTATTGAATACAAAAGTTAAAGTAATAATGAAATTTATTTATTTAATCCACTATTTTTCATTAATTAGATACCAATTAACAGTTTTCAATAATAAATTTAAAGTAAACCATTAATATAAAAATTCAAAATTGTCGTAAACTTTGCGAGAATAAATGTATTAATATGTTAATATTAAAGTTACAAATACTAAATTAATATTAATTTTTATTATTCCATTGTTGTATGACCTTTCAAATATATAAATTAATTAATTATAATTTATTCATGACTTTTATATATTTTTAAAGTAATTATATACATTTCATTTCATTATTTCAATACAAAAACATACATAATTTGTCTCGATTATTTAATGTATGGTCGTACTTTGAGCTTGAAGTAAATCATTTTCCATTGAAACAGAAGAGTATCCATACAAACTTAATACTTGACTTATACCTATATTATTCATATTTATCTTATACCACAAATTGGATAGCTTATAAGTTAATAAAAATAGAAAACATCATGCAATATATAATGATGTCTCTATAAATAAAAAATAATTAAAATACTTACTCATTCTTGTAATCAATAGCCTCTTTTATGTTATGATTGATATATAACTTTATCTCATTATAAGCATTTGATATGCTTAAAGTTCCTAAAACAACCATGAAATATATTTTATTGATAATAATAACTATCACACAATTTAAAAAAGTTTAATATAGATAAAGAATCATACCACCAAATGTTTTCATTTTATATAATTAAATAATCACAATAGGTAAAGCATTAGAATTTTCATTCTTTAAAAAATCAACCATTTGATCAGCAAACTCCTCTTATAAAGTGCAAATAATTCTCTAATTCCTATGAAACTAATTCAATATAATATAACCTTACTTAATATAAAGTAATAAAAGAGAAAAAATATTAAACAAATATTTTAGCCATTAAAATATGTGATAAAATAATATTTACTCCAAGTCTTCAAGAATCAAATCAATATGTTTACTTTTCTTTTCATTTTTTTTTCTACATCTTTGTGATTATCTTTCTCAACCACATGACCAATGACAAAGTAGCATACATGGATAGATATGAAAGCGATTAAAATTAGAAAAAATAAAAATCACCAATTAAATATAGTTCACATTTGACAAAATTTTTGAGAATGAAACAAAATTGAAACAGTTGAAATAGATGTTATCACATTTGACTTCTGAAACTTTAGTGGTTGCCATTAAATTTAATTTCTATTTGTGTTTAGTGGTTTGCATCTTCTTTTCAAAAGTAATTACCATAAAATTTTTCATGATATACACATTGCTTTAATGGAGTAATTTTTCGTAACGTGATATAATATCTTTCCTAATAGTATAATGAATCCTTGAACTCTGAAATAATGAGAGAACATAAAAGAATTAAATAAATTAAATAAGAAGGAAATTTGATGCAGTTTGACTAAAGAAATATAAAAGCTTCATCATTTCATCGATAAAATCATGTTCATGTTATTGACTTAAGTTTTATTTCGAAACTCATAAGAAACCACAAATTAATTATCCGAACCATTATCTTTCAATCCACCTTCCCATGTCGTACTTCAGAAAGTATTGAAATAGTAGGCGTTATTTTGTAAGAATTTTAGTTTGAAATTTTATTTCAAACAAACAACGTGTGCTTTCCCTTATATATATACCTAATAAAATACAATTTCTTTCTCACTTGAAGATTTTTTTCTTTGATTTTTTTTATAATAAACTTAATTTAAAGTTCAAGAGTTTTATGTAATTTTATCAGTTATTAATTTCTAATAATAAAATTTAAAATAAACATTAATATTAAGGTTCAAATCTGCTGCAAATGATGTACCTTTTGAATATATAAAAACTATTAATTAGAAATAAATACATTTAACTAATTTGAATTAAATCATTCAAGACAGCCTTAAAGGTAAAGATATATCAAAACTGTTAATTAGAAATGAATGAATTTAATTGATTTGAATAAAAGCATTCAATATGGCCTTAAATAGTAATTATTAATTATTATATAAAAATTATTATGTTAAAGAGTAAGGGCAAATTTTCCTTCAAAACTCATTACAATTTTTCTTCCAAAACTCATCTACTTATATATATATATAAATATAAAGATATTATAGTATTTATCAAATTTAAAAATTTTATTATTCATATATAATTACTTAAAAAATATAAATTAAAAGAATATTGGATTAACTTGCAACATCTAAACTATTGCCTAAGTCTTTAAAACACACCAAGTCAAATCTTAAAAACATAAATTCAATTATTCATGCATTAATATTGAGTGAAATTTAATTAATGGGATAATTTGAGCCTTGTACATTTCTATCTCCTAAGGTTGTCAATTCGAATTGTACTTTTGAGTCAACTTTTCAAACCCACTTACTTTTAAACCAAACTACACGATTCATCTAAAAATGGGTTAAAATATATTCGAATTA